CCAGTTGCATGAGTGTTTCAAAGCAGTCCCATGTAATCTTTGATGTGAAAACGAATGATTTTAGGGCTTTTAGTGCGGCTTGGCTGTCTGAGCAGATATATATGTTGGCACCCCTCAGACCTTTGCTCAGGCACCTTTGGGCGCAAAGGTGTCTTCTATTTAGTCCATTATTACAATACCAACAACACCAGCACATAATATTCTACAAATATCCTGAATATTCAGAACGTTTGCACTTACTTCAGAATAATCTGATAGAATGTTCTTAGAATGATCAGAGAATATTTTCATCCTGGCAACAAATATTGAACATTCAATTCGACATATTCTCAGAATGTTCTGAGAATATACTCAAGTTAATAGGACCGCTATAAGCAACGTAATCAAACGGTAGCCTTCTAATTGGTAGGAAATACATTTATATAAAAGTTTCCTAATAAGCGCCACTTGTTTCAACTTTTCAAGATTTGATTTCCTCTTCTTGATTGTTTGAAGTGTCACACACACAAAAACATTCAAAACTATGATGTATTTTTGAGAGATATATTCTTACATTATATTGCATTACTTTTTGATATGTTCACTAATGAATCTAGTTGAGAAAAAGGTATCACAGAATTAGAAATCGAAATCCCTATTCAAATAAGAGCCTTTATCATAGATCAGATACTCTATATAAATACTAAAAAATGGGAATGATCGTCATCGATCGGTTCTATCTAAACGATAAATGCCATCACTGCATGCTTATCTCGTAGAGTAGTACTCTTCGAAGTTTGTCCAAAGCTCTCGGAATATTATATTTCCATCATCAGGGAACTAAAACAATTCATCATTGTCTTTCACATTCATGTTAGTATTAATCAAATTGTATAAGACGTTAATTACATATTCGAAAAGACGAAGAAAAAACTGGATCAAACACAATTATCATGTGAATAAGTTGAATTGTAAAATATAAAAAATGTGACAATGCATAATTTGCCTCAGCGGCAAGTAAAGGTATATAGGTCTCTACAAACGATCTGATATCCCACATTCTCTTTCTGTTGGTGATCATATGGGTATCATCTTATCATATTTCTTGATCCTCATTACACGTATAAACTGATAACTAACTACGGTAACTTGACCTTGGATAAAAGGAAAGCGCAATTATCCAGTTTTCGGATACATCACTATAGAAGAATGGAAATCCAATGTAAAATAATTTCCTAGATTATTCACTCGGATAAGACTGTTAACTATGAGACTTCCTTGCGGTGAACCCAAAGTTCCGTGCGTTAGGTACCTACTTGTTTGAATTCTGTTCAATATAGTGGTCATATCCTACTTTTCTGGAAAACCTCAGCGCACTTGGATGTATTAATAATAATAATACATTTTATTCCTTGAAATCACCATTTAACAATGATATAGAAGTCGTCATTTTGAATATGAAACATGATACTTATAATGTTGCATTGCGCTATAATAAACAGCTTTTCCATAAATATTGTGAATAAGGGTGGTAATTCTGATAGTGGGGATCCAACTGAACACGGAACAACGATTTCACATCTCACATCAAACAATTCATATAGTTTCCAGATGAGAGCATACGGAATATAAACAAAAGTATGTTTCAAAATCACTATGTATAAGTACCTACATCAGAGAAAACTGGAAAACTAGACGTAGTATGCAGGTATAATCAGTAGGTACTGAAACTCAAAACATTTTGGCAAGACATTTCAGAAGATTGCAATGTCACTAAATTAACAGAAATGAGTATGGCAGGAACACATGCGCCCATGTAATTTCAATATTTACTTAGACGAAGACCTTAATTATCAGATTGTTCACTCTATTCAGATGAAATAATACTATTGAAAGGAAGAATTTATAAAATAATGTCATGGATATTGAAGAATATGAGTTTTCATCATACTGATTTAAAGTGATGATAAATGTGATCCTCTAATTGCTCATTATATCTACTATAGCTGTGAGTGGCTAAGAATTAAGGAATAGATACCTACCTACCTATTATAAAAAGTAGAAATGGTCCACTTCTTCATTTCGATCCTCGCCTATACCTATAGCAACAGACATAATTGCGACACACATGGAAATACCAACATACCATAGTATTCAGAAAATACACTTACTCTAACTTGACGTGTTGACTGATTAATACACTAAAAGAGCATTTTCACGGGCACAATTTGATACAAACGCGAAAAATGTGTAGTCTCCTTGGCTGACAGCAGTTCCACCCTTCCCAATGCGCATACACACCCCCGCATGTGGCAGATCTCGCCCTATTTTCACCCTCTCACACATCCAGAACCGGAGTTAGTACACGCACGGAATCGACTCTTACTTCATTTAATTCTTTAAAAAAGGTTTTCAAAACGCGTCTCTATGAATTTGAATATGTTTCATGATCTGAAGTCGGTAGGCCAATGTCTATTTTGGAAGAATGGAAGAACACATCTCATGATAAGGTGTATGCAAAAAAACATTATTTCTTTTATCAACCCTGTGTTATAGAATACTATATGTGTGAGGAGAGTATGTTCCAACAACTATAATACTTTGAATAGGTACATACATCATGGTTGAAAATTTTCTTCATTATCTAATAAGTACAATAAATAATAATTTTCAAGAGGTCAACCAGTTTTCTAGATAGGTTTGTTCAATTAAATGGTAAAATGCGATAGTTTTTGACGCCATTTTGAATTTTGCAATTACGATAGACGATTTTTACTCTCTAAACGTTTCTCTTTAGTCCAAAACTAACAAATACCGCTTATTTTAATAGGTATTAGTGATCGACCGATACCGATGCCGATATATCGGCTAATCTTAAGAAATTATGGTAGATATAACATGAAATAGGCATTTAATATGAATACTGTAGTTTTGGCAAATTAGCATGTAAAAAAATAAGTGTCTCGGTTGTTTCTGATGGGTTCAGCCGATGCCTTTTCGCCGAATTTTGCTCACTTGCAACACTGCCAACTGGTGCAGATAAATATATATGACCTTGACAGACAATAATAATTAATAATGAATGTTATCAATTAAAAAAGGCCGATATGCCGATATATATACCGTTATCGGCCAGGAAATTATCGGTATCGGAGGATTATCGGTATCGGCTAAAAAAGTCATATCGGTCGATCACTAATAGGTATAGTCTGAGCTGAATTGACATCAGCCCGCACTATGTTGAATAGTATATCAGTACTCGCAGTAATCCACCAATTTTGGACAAGAAATTTCAGGCACATGCTATAGAAATAAATCAATATAGAATCTTTTGATTTCGTTAACTCAAATGGAGGTTTTTGGTCTAAACATATACCTAATAAAGTTCGTTGAACTCTCTTTTAATGCATGGATTTAGGATCTGGCTTCAGTCGTTAGGCTAGAACTCCTCCTTGTAATGTGTCTGTATAAAGGATCTTAAAATAATTAACACCCTTTTATAAATAGCCAAACAATAAGAAGTAGAAAATAAAATATTAAAAGTGTGTTGATTAATACACAACATAGAAAATATTACAATCTCCGTAATCTGTACATTTTATATAATATATTGAATATTTATCTACACACTTTTGTTATTCCATTTTCTACATCTTTTCAGTTTGGCTATCCATAAAAGAGTGTTTCTTTAGTTTTTTAGTGTTCTAATTTTTTTTGTGAGTGCCAATTTTGACGAAAGAATCTTAATCTCCGACTTCGGCAACCCTCAGATACCAACTTTGAATAGAATCGGATCATATAATTACAAAACTCGTCTACCATATTGGATCAGCGATCTTGAGTTTTCCCATTTTGACGAAAGAATCATAATCTCCGATCCCGAAAAACCCTCAGACAAAAATTTCAAATAGAGATTCGGATCATGATTACAAAACTTGTCCGCAATATCTTGAATTTCCCAATTTCGACGTCCTCGAAAATCTCCAGATGAATAGAATCGTATCATGATTACAAAACTTTTTCGCCATATTGGATCCGACATCTCGAATTTTGAAATTTTACGAACGAATCATAATCTCTGATCCCGAAAACCCGCAGATACAAATTTTGAATAGATGTTTCTTGGGGCAATATGAAGAACAACAACAATAATAACAAAACTTCCGCCATATTGGATCCACCATCTTGAATTTCCAAATTTTGACGAAAGAATCATAATCTCTGACCCCGAGAACCTCCAGATACAAATTTTGAATAGTATCGGATCATAATCAGAAAACTAGTCCGTCATTTTTTTTTGTCTAACAAAAATTTCATGATGCATCCGGAACTATATGTACACCTGCCAAATTTTAAATCAATAAATTCAATTATGATGAATCGAAGATTGGTTATTGTCATCACCGACCTCAGGAAGTAAAAAGTCTCGATGGTAATTTCTGGAAAATATTCCACAGGGTAAAACCTAAACTATTTCTTGGAAATTGTTAATCAAATGGTAATCAGATTTATCGAAAAAATACTTTCAAATTGAATCAAATACAGACCTGCTCGATCGTGTTTTATGCGATGAGTTCTATTCAAATTCCAATAATTTGTTGTTTTATTAGAGGATGTCGTGTTATCGTAGCGTATAATTTAGGTATTTGTTGTCAATCAACTCTCAGTTCAACGAAAACAAGAACTTCATATAGAAGTTTACAAAAATAAGGAAAATAATAATTTATAGTAGGGATGTCAAGGCTGGTAAAGATGATAACTCCTGAAAGGTATATATACAGACCGAGAACAGCTGATGAGTTCTCGGGGTCAAACAGAATTGTCTCATTCTTGCTGACATTGGGACATCTCTACATAGTTCTCTCCAGTTATATGGAATCTATATAGTGATTTAAAAAAAAATTGTATAGCTCTTTTACCAAAAGAGTTAATAAGCAGGTCCCAATATATATAATGATCAACGGTGCCCCGTATATCTGCCTGATTGCTATCAACAACTTTTTCTACTTCACTAAACTCACCAGCAATTTCGATGAATCATCCTCGAGTTCGTAGTACACCAGGAACTTCTCGTTCAGCACGAACGATCTTTGCTTGTAATTGACGACCGTCCAAAATCTTTTGTTCAGCGATCTCTTGATCATCACCCCTTCTTTTTTAGGCTTAATCTCAGTCGCTTCTTCGTATGTGCTGCTATTTCTCATCGCCATAAGGCACGGGCCTTATTGCATTCTAGCTACCGGTTCATTGGTATTGATGCGTGACTCGGTTTTAAAATAAAACTCGATATGAGGTCCGTCTATTTCTAAAAGCCTGTAAACAGAAAACTGAGAGTTGCGACTACCAGCTTATCAGTTTTCCTGCTGATAGCGACGGGCACAGCGAATCTGTGCACGTTCGTCAATATAATATACAGGGTTATTCAGATTCATAGGTTACTCATTTTTTTTATTGCTGAATAAAATTGTGCCTTGATACTTAATAATTTTGTCCTACGACCTGTGAAAGAATAAACGAAGAGTGTGGCAATATTCCTGTACGCTCACGTGTTCTTTGTTTGGTCTACATGATATATATCCATTATTTACTTATTTTCAAGGCGTGAAGTGCGTCTTTATTTCTACCAAGATAGTTCCTGTCATTTTAAGAACTTCTAGTCAACAAAGATACAGCCACTTCTGTTATAATCAACCCTAATTCCCATTTTTGAAGCGCGATTCACAGGAATCGCACTAGAATCTAGTAGGTATTTATCAATAACGACTTATTGTCATTAGGCTGTCATGGTCATGACTACTAGATTTCAATTAGAATTGAAAATAAGTGCTCTCATGATGCCAGTACGTCCATATTTCAGTTATTCGGCTAGTGCTGAAAAAACATTGATTTAGACCTCGGGATATAATCTTGGTCACTGGGTAATAATGATGTTCCTTTACTACCTTGATGTATAAATATTATATTATTTCTTATTCATTCTTTACACATGTAAAACTCCTGATGATGTCGGAAAAAAATATGATGATAGAATCTCATATAGAATGACAACAGAAAATATCATCATTCAGAATAAGGATTACAATTCGATGAAATCTAATGAAATAACAGTATATGAATTAAATGACCATTATACATCAGTCTCCTGTTGGATTTTTACTTAAATGGCACTGTATCTGCAAACGAAGGTGATTTTTTTTTCTTGTTCTGGTTCCCACGAAAAAGAAATCCTGTAATGTTCATAGAACATCGTGAGAACCAAGGGAAATAAGATAGGAATTGGTGTTCATCTCAAATTTCTGGAGGTTATAATAATTATGCACATATATTACAATAAACACACGGACATGTTTTCATATTGATACCCAACTTGCGAAAAATGTTCACCTGAATTACGATATTTCATTCAGATAAACATGAATATTTATAGGCACTTCTCAAAATGTGACTGTCTTGCAGGAAGCATATACCTATGATTTCTTATTCATGCCTTTAGATACTACGAGTCTCATGCATTTGAGTTGTGACGGTTTGTTCAGTGAATCTATGCATTATTTTATGTCTATTTATGTAGAAAACCGAATTTTGCGTAATTTCAAGTTGTGACTGTCTCCTTCTCAGGTAGCGATATATAACTAACAAATGTTTCAAATTTATAAGTTTTTTCTCATTTCCATGACAACTAAAGGTATACTGATGTAACATCACGAATAACGTCTCAGTCCCCGACTTTAGCAATTTGATAAAGGTAAAAATCTTGCTCCAAAATGTTTTTTTGCGATTGTCTCGATTCCTATTGATTTAACAACGAAACTACATCACTTCAAATAGGAAGATAAGGCATTGCGAAAGCTATACGAAAGACAATGATCAAATCATGGATGCCAACCAAATCTTAAGAATGGTGGGGCAAATCGCCAGGATTAAGACAGGCAAAGGAGTTTATTGAAAAACTATCGCCTATATTCACAGTATATATTATCGATATTTTTATTTTTCAGAAACAAGAGAGAAAATCCAAATAATTCAGTTTTGTTTGATTCAAAATGAATATGGTTCCAATAGTATTTGTCCCAAATGATTAAAAATCATCATGAGATCCGGAATTTTCCATCTTATTCTACAGATTTTCGTTAACGTTATGTCAATAAAGAAATTCATATATGATGATATTCATATTCATGAAGAACATGTAGAATATAAATTGCATTTCGTGAGAAATCTCTATCACAGTTTATGGAATTTACATAAACTGTGCCTCTATATACCTACGCCGACAGCGATATCGTTCGTTTTTTTATCAACTTCACTGAAATAATTAATCACACCTGAAAAATCAAGATATGCTACAACGAGTAGCAATAATTATTAATGGTGAATGATTCAGTATGCTCATCTCGTGATACCAAATTACCTTAGATTGCAGAACATCAAATATTTGGTTGAAATTATGGTTGGATTTCAATCAAAACAACGAAATTATCTTCGAAATATTTTAGTTTAATATAGACAGGTGTGTTCCAAGAAATTATCGACCATGGATATTTGCATGTTAATGGCTTGGAAGAATCTTCAAGACGAAAAAGAGAAGGAAGTATTTTTACTTATATGTTTAGGTTTTGGAAAGACATAAGTAAGATGTAAATTTCATATCATGAAAAACCCAATTATATTGAAAGGTTATCACTATAATTTGGTGATATCGTAGACCAAAATTAAGATTATGTGAAATGTCTGGAATTCACGTTGGCTACTGAAGGTGATACCACAACACAATAATGCGGTTTCCAAACAAAAAAAATTCATCTGGTAAAATCATGTAGATGTATCATTTACATGAAGATGCCTCAAGTTATAATCTCCTACTGGCGACGTCTGTACGATATAGACTTCTGAGACGTCCCTAGTGTTTTTGAGAAATTCGATATTGTATTCATAAATTAGTAAACATCGAAATATACACATATGACCACTTGAACAGTGTCAAAATGTATTATAAATGCTGGTGTTCCGCAAGGATCAATTTTAGCACCAACACTATTTCTACTCCATATCAACGATTTGTTGTTGAGCAACATCATGTCCAGTACACAGCTTCGCGGATGATAGTACCCTCTATACCGCCTTCTCTTCCAGGGCTCCAATACTAGCCAGGCAAATCAGAAACGAACGAGGGAGAAATGTTGACAGCATAAATATGGACTTGGCAACAATTCTCGAATGGGGAACCAATAATTTTGTAGATTTCAATGCAAACAAAACACAAGCATGCCTTTTCTCTAGAAAATCCGATCTCACTGTGCCCAACATGAGCTTGTCAGAAGTAACCATACCTTTGAAGACATCTATTTCGATGCTTGGTATTACCAGAGATTAGTCAACCATAGAACTGGTTGATTAATCTCTGGTATTACTATCAGCAATAACCTTTCTTGGGAAAATCACGTGAGATAAATTGCTAAAAGTGCATCCCAAAAACTTGGTTTTTTGTTTCGGGCCAGGAGCTATTTCACTTCCAGTCAGCTGCTTATGATCTATAAGGCACAGATCCGACCTGTCCTGGAACACCACACACGTTTCAATTTCAATGGAGGTATCTACTGCCTTTATCCAAAATCTTCTCTTGAAGATGTTAACATATTTATCGAAACACGTGTCGAGGTGTGAAACATTGTTTCGGTAGTGGTAAACAGTGCATGCATGATTATAATCATCATAACAGATATACCGGGTGATTATCCAAGGTGGCTCACCCCTATAACTTTTTTATTATTGAAGATGATAAAACCAAATTTGGGGGTTGTAAATGATAGTTCAATTGACATTTTTGACTACTCTACTTGCTTTGCCGTACTTCCGGGTAACCAGAAATAATGATCCCAACTTTCGATTTTTGAGAGGGACACCCTTTATTATTATTTTATTCCATAATCGTTTAGGGATTATCCGAAAGAAATCAACGATATCGGGAATCACCCCTTGAATTTTTTCGGTGTTATTTAGATTCACTCTGTATATCATAGCTAGAAGCAGAAAATATTCAAAATAGAATTTCATAATCAGTCAGGAAACTTCCAAAAATTCATATATACAGGGTGTCCCTAGACCAGTGGGACAGTTGAATATCTCCTGAACCAATAGGAATTTTCGAAATATTATAATTCCACATCATATCGCATTATGAGTGCTAACTTCAGGAATGACTATATTTTCTACGAGGGGCACAAGAAAGGCTCACTAAATCGAACATCAATTTTTTCAAATGGAACACCCTGTATTTTATTGCATTTTTATAATCTCCTTGAAGAGCTGAATTCAACGACCTAGCACACTTGGGGTCTAGCGGGAATGATTTCCGAGATATAGGGTGTGGAAAATCGAGATTTTTCATTTTTGGGAATTTTTTGTGTCAAAACTATTCATTATTGGTCAAAACGGCTTACATGTCCATATCTTAACTTTTGATTTACTATTCACTCGTATTTAATTGAAACAAATACAGGGTGGTGTGGAATTCCGACAGAAACTGAGAATTCTACACCACCCTGTATTTGTTTAATTTAAATACGAGTGAATAGTAAATCAAAAGTTAAGACATGGACATGTGAGCCATTTTGACCAATAATGAATAGTTTTGACACAAAAAATTCCCAAAAATGAAAAATCTCGATTTTCCACACCCTATATCTCGGAAATCATTCCCGCTAGACCCCAAGTGTGCTAGGTCGTTGAATTCAGCTCTTCAAGGAGAATATGAAAATGCGATGAAATACAGGGTGTTCCATTTGAAAAAAATTATGTTCGATTTTGTGAGCCTTCCTTGCGCCCCTCGTATAAAATATAGTCATTCCTGAAGATAGCACTCATGATGCGATATGATGTGGAATTATAATATTTCGAAAATTCCTATTGGTGCAGAAGATATTTAACTGTCCCACTGGTCTAGGGACACCCTGTATATATATATTTATCTATATTACTTTTCAGAATTCAAGACAATATATGGTCCAGTAATAAGTGATCACTGGATTATGCAGAAGTCGTAGGTATGACTATATAGATTCATGAAGCAGAATAACTAAAAATAATTAGACAGATATTATCTCGTTAATCTGTCACAAAATATCACTGTGTAACTGGATCATTCTCATAGTCTCTCAGGAGTACGGCAAGAACAATTCATCAACACAGTTGTATTCAGGGGTACATCATC